GACATTTGAATAAATCAGGGGTAGAGGATCTCCAGAAACCTTATTGGACTTATGAATTAGCCCTCTAATCTCCAGTTCCGTCACTGGAAGCCAAGGTGAGGAAGGACTACATGCCCTTTGTAGATCATTTTGTGAGAACTCTAGTCCACTGCAGCTGGAAGCTGTAAATAATTGGCTGTAATATTCTTCTCACATGGTGTCGGTACAGTCTTATCATTGTCATTGCCACTCGCTTTAGGAGTTATTGCTACTAAGCCAATCAGAGATTGTGCTGCTATATATGTGTTGTTAACACTGTCTGTTGTAAGTTCCTCAATTTTCTCAATATTTCATTTCATTCACTGTTTGGCAGTGCTCCAAAAGAATGAATCAGCTGTACAGTACTTCTAGAACTTCATCTGTTCCCTCATCACATGACTTTAGGTGTTTATCTGAGTTGCTTAAAGACCATTTATAGTGGATAGCTTATCATTACATGTATGCAATGGTGAATAATTGAACCAGAGCAACTCTTCATGCTTGTGAGAAGAAATATTACAGACCTGCTGGGACAGGGAGTGTATTTTGGAATCCTTGAAATGACCCGTTTCTCTGTAACTTTTCATAAGTCATTAGTGGGCCTCAAAAACCGTGTTTCTCCCTACCATACCTGTTTCCAGATGTTTGGCCACAAACCATCTTAATTGTTATATCCTCTTCCTTGACACAAAGTTATTTTGGACTTTATCATTGTCCTATCATACATCAAAGGTCAAAGTGTCATTGTGTTGGTAACTAATATATTTTCTAAGATTTCACATTTCAGTTGAGATTGGAGATCAAGTCTGGGCTTTCTACCACATTTCTTTGTTCACACAATTCTCTAAGAACCTGGGTATCAGGTCTGTTAGAACTTTCCTTGGAATTGCATAGATTAGTCACCACTTTCTTTCTTCTACAGCTTTCAGCCCCACTTGAAATATCTCCAGTTTATTGCTATCCTCTCCTGCTCCTAGAATATCCTCTTGCATCTTGTGTACCTCTGCTTCCCCTTCTGTGTCATTTTAGAAGAATTTGTCAGTACTCTGTACTAGCAGTCAGGCCTGAAAACAGCTATGTAGAAGTCTCCCTGAGTTCTGATTAATACATTTTTACCAGGAAGAAAAGAATATGATAAATACCAAACAATATTACTGCTGTTAAATGTGAACCTTACACATAGGTGATTCAGAGTAGCAGGTGTCTTTGCTTTTTCGTCTCTTGTGCATTTAGTGAATCAATCAATCAGAATAGAGCTGGAAGGGATCTTGAAGGTCCAACTCTCTGCTCAAGCAGGAGACCCTATACTTTTTCAGACAAGTGGCTGTCCAGTTTGTTCAGTGGATGGAGAAAGATTATCACTCTGAGAATGTGTGAGCTAGCCTGCATCTGGCCATTGCTTATCCAACAGACTCCCTTTTAATGTGAGACTCCACAAACACAGAATTTGAGTAGAATATATTTTGGACTCAGCCCAAGATGGACAGACTGGAATATTCAATTCATTGAAAGAGATATCCAGATATTGAGCATTTTTGTAAAAGAGCAGATGCCACCCACGCATTGTGCTTCTTTTGATAATTTCTTTTACTATAGTCTCAAGCATCTAAACCACCTAACAGGCCACCCAATCAGGTACTGTGCCATTCAGCAGTTATAACTCAGAGGGAGAGAGACATCTGTAATTAAAGGAGGAGCAAGGAGGAGTATATTGAGGGATGAGAGGGAAAGATCTGGAAGTGGTAGAATTCCTGCTAAAGAAGTAGAAGGGATGAAAATATCTCTCATTTGCTTCTATCCATTGTGTGGAGAAGGCAAGGATATAGAAGTCTGGAATGGAGAGATTTTTATCAGACAAAGAAGAAGTGGAAAATGTCCTTCTTCAAGCTGGATTCAGATAGGAAGAGGGGACCTGAAAGAGGAAGAATATCAACAGCTCATCATCATCCAGCCATCCGTTAGCAGAAAGGAGGGAAAGAAGCACCTGGATCTCTTGGGAGGGAGAGGAAAAAACAGGAAAAAAGATGGTATAAAGAATAAACTGGTATGGTAGGAACCAGCGAGTCCCAGGTCAGAGAGAGCTGTTGTGTTAAGATATACTGGGTTCTTTCCCATGCTATTAGAGAATTGCCAAAAACATGTTGACTCAGAATGAAAAAAGGAAAAAGCCTAGAATTTAAATCATAGCTGTACTGTGTGTATGGGCTTTGATTAGTCTACTGCAAAGGGCAAATCATCTTTAGGCAAATACTTCATTCTTGTCTTTAGTAAAGTAACTACAGGTAGTCCTTGACTTACAACAGTTCATTTGTTAACCATTCAAAGTTTCAATGGCATTGAAAAAAGAGGCATGACCATTTTTTCACACTTATGACCATTGCTGGATTTCCGTGTTCACTTGATTTTCATTCGGATGCTTGACAACTGGTTCATATTTGTGACAGTTGTAGTTTCTCTGAATCATGTGGTCTCCTTTTGCAACCTTTTGACAAGCAAAGTCAATGGGGAAGCCAGATTCACTTAACAACTGTGTTATTAATTTAACAACTGCAGTGATTCACTTAACAAATATGGCAAGAAAAATCATAAAATGGGGCAAAATTCACCTAACAAATTTCTTAACACAAATTTGGGGTGCAATTGTGGTCATAAGTTGAGGACTGCCTGTATACAAATATTTTGGAATAAAAATGTTTATTATAGAAATAGGTTATTTTAAAAAAGTAGAGATAATAAAATGAGGGTTGATCACTGCAGTTGTTAAATAAATAACACAGTTGTTAAGTGAATCACTGCAGTTGTTAAATAAATAACACAGTTGTTAAGTGAATCTGGCTTCCCCTTTGACTTTGCTTGTCA